GTGATCCAACTGGCAGGACATTTGGGAAGCTACAGCCCGATCATCTATATGTGTCACCCTCCAGGAGCAGTCATTTAAAACGCTCTTCAGATGGTACACCACCCCAGTAAAGCAGATCCCCTCCACAGACTTATGTTGGCACGGTCGCGGAGAACAAGGCACTTACGTGCATATGTGGTGGACATGCCCTTCAGTACAGGCCTATTGGTCCCAAATCATCAACCTAGGCTCAAACACAGTGCAGAGACCATTACAATTAGACCCATGGGCCTGCCTCCTCTCCGGGCCCACAGAGGGCCTTACACGCCCGGAGCAACAGCTATTAAACATGATCTACCTGGCGGCTCGTAGGGCACTGGCACAAAACTGGCTGTGCCCGGAAACGCCTCCCATCACACTGGCCTTAGCGAAATTGAAAGACAACTACCTTATGGACAGGTTGACATCCCTGGTCAGGCACACCACTAAAAAATTTGGCAGAGTGTGGGAGCTGTGGGAGCAATACCAGGAGAACGGGGCGGGTGGACAAGGGAACTGAATGCACAAGCGGGGTTTAAAAAAATAAAAATAAAATTAGATCACACGACAAACATCACTTGGACTACAGAGGCAGACATGCTAACTTACTTTATTATTGTTTTTAAGTTTGTATTATATATCATTTCCCATACGTTTGTTATGAAACCGTTCATTATCATTAGAATATGAATACACCAACTGAAGTGTCATATAAAACCACAGTATGGTCTAAAAGATAAACTAGGATACGTAATATCAGCAACCCTCATGATGGCAGACAGACGCAAAGTTTAGGGATATCAATATGCATTCTTATACTAACGCTTCACCCTTCCTTTCTGTACAATCAAACTGTCTAAAAAAGTAATGTGGCATCTGCGTAAGCATATACACTGTCACAAATATGCACTTCTTTTTAGTGAAAAATAAAGAATTAAAAAATAATAATAATAATGGCCACACGACAAACACACATGGACTACAGAGACAGACGCGCTAACTTACTTTATTACTGTTTTTAAGTTTATATCATTTCCCATACGTTTGTTATGATATCGTTAATTATTATTAGAACATAAATACACCAACTGAAGTGCCATATGAACCCACAGTAAGGTTTCTTTTGTTTGTTTTTTTAATTCTTTATTTTTTTATTTATTTTTTGTAAATATGTTTTTATTTATTCGGGATATAATGAAGCATTGTTATGGATACGCAGATCCTTACGATTAACACAGTAAGTATGAAGCAACAAGATAGAGAGCAATTATTACAGTTGAAAACATATATAAACCATGAAAGTGTAAAGTTTAGGGTTGTCATCTCGCAAGCCTATTAAGGGGGTAGAACCCGCTGGTCCTGTTCCGTTACCATGAACATGTATAGATATGTAGTTTCCCTCCTTGCTAGTGGCCGTAAAAGGGTGTCCTTGCATGGCTTTGAGTCCACCCTTCTTTATTTTTCTTGTGCTTGCAATGACAACAGGCGTGTGTAGCCACAACAGCATCCACCAGCATTTTCAAGACATTTTACAGTTTGGCAGGTTGATCAGCAAATTTTTTGTATAATCGTGAAAAATAACAGGATAGTGGGCAACGCTTATATAATATAACATGCTAGGACACAAGCATATCTAGGTACACTTTGGGTTATAGACGTGTGGCTTTTATATAACAGGTTTCATCGCTACGTGTGCAAGGCAGGACAGATTGTGTTGCTTGCAGGATCCCTTGGCACAATGCTAGCTTTTAAACAAATATACGGGTCGTTGCGCAAAAATACATGTCTTTACAGGCTTAAATAGTACAAGTCTAGGTTGGTAATGTCACAAATAATGCAGGAGTTCAACATCAATAAACAGGTTACGCAGGCATGTTTAAACCGGTGGGTGCCCTGAGTGTAAGACCTGAGCAGGGCCAGATTAAGAGCCCAGTGGGCCTGGTGCTGACAATTATGACGGGCCTAATTACAGAATCATATCGACCAAAAACAGTAAAACACTCCCAAGCGTCATGTATCTGATGGAGATGGTGCTGGAGAGAAAGAAAACAGCAGCTATAAGAAAACACATAACCTAGGCTAATCTCTCACTAATTTATGTTTTCATCTTTCAAGTAAATCCATAACCCCTAACAGCAGTGTCCAGTCAAGCAAGAAGTCAATGGGCACGGTAAAAGGGTGTGCCACTGACACGAATCACGTAACTTGCCAAAAGGGGCGAACATGCCCAAAAAGAGGATATGTCTACCTGAAGAATTAGAAGGCCAGCCTGGTATGAATGCATGTCAGGCTGCCTGCCAATCATGCAGCTGGCCAACTAAGGGCATACTATGCAGACAGCACCCTGAGCTTGGCATAAATGCATCTAATGATGCGCTTCCTCAACGCTTTCTAAGAACTGTCCCCTAGCACTTGCTGGTCCACTTGTCTCCTTACCTTCTTACTAGCAGGCAGAAGCTCCTGGTATATAGTCTGGAACAGAGAAAAGCTGTATGTAGTGAGTGTAGAATAAAGGGAACATGCCACAGTGTTAGAGAGACCAAAGTCAGAATTACCTTAAAGGATCACTATAGGGTCAGGAATACAAACATGAATTCATGACCCTTTAGTGTTAACACCACCATCTAGCACCCCTGGGCCCTTCATGCCTCCGTAAATATAGCAAAATCTTACTGTATTCAAGCCTGAAGCTGTAACTCTGAATGCTGTTAGACTCAGAAAAACAAGCAGTCTGCTGACATCATTAGAAGTGGTGGCCTAATCCAATCACAGTGCTTCCCCATAGGATTGGCTGAGACTGACAAAGATGCAGATCAGGGGCAGAGCCAGCATGATTCAAACACAGCCCTGGCCAATCAGCATCTCCTCATAGAGATGAAATGAATCAATGAATCTCTATGAGGAAAGTTCAGTGTCTGCATGCAGAGGGAGGAGACACTGAATGTTTGGATGCATTTTAGGCAGCCATGACCCAGGAAGGATCTCTAACAGCCATCTAAGGAGTGGCCAGTGAAGTTATCACTAGGCTGCAATGTAAACACTGCATTTTCCCTAAAAAGACAGTGTTTACAGCAAAAAGCCTGACGGTAATGATTCTACTCACCAGAACAAATTCAATAAGCTGTAGTTGTTCTGGTGACTCTAGTGTCCCTTTCACTATATGCATTGTCAGCCAGTCCACACAAGTTTTGTTCCCATACAACCCTCTTAAGTTTCTATACTTAAGTAAGAGTATGTGAAAAGTAGTTAGGATTGCCACCTTTCTTGGAAAAACATACCGGCCTTGCTAATTTGCATAATTAAATACGTATGGGTGACATCACATGATGTAAATCACAAGGAGTGACATAAGAGAAAATGCTGTAAAATCACCAAAAAAACTACTTAGTTTGATTCTGCTGAATAGATGGATTCCTCACAGTGGCCCCATGTCTCCCAGTGCCCCCTTGTGTCGATTACTCCAGGTCTCAGTGTTCCTATGTATGAGTGTCTCAGTGCCCCATGTCTCTGTGTCCCCTAGTGTCGTGGCCCCAGGTCTCCTAGTGATCCTATGTATCACAGTGTCTCAATGCCCCATGTCTCCCTGTGTCCCCATATATCCCAGGGTTCCCATGTCACTAGGAAGACGGGACACTAGGGACACGGAGACACCAGTGACACTGGGAGACTAGGGGACTCTGCCTGGGACGCATGGGGACACTGGGAAAATAGGGGACACTTGAAGACATGGGGACACAGACACCAGGGACACAGACACTAGAGACACTGGCTGGGGGACATGGGGACATTGAGACATGGGGGCACTGGGAGACATGGGGACAAGGAGACACCAGGGCCACAGACACTAGGGACACTAGCTTGGAGACATGGGGACATTGAGACTCTTGAGGCACTGGGAGACATGGAGGCACTAGGAGACACGGGGACAGTCAGACACTGGCAGACTGGGGGCACTGGGAGACTAGGGGGCACTGAGACACCAGGGACACTGGCTGGGAGACATGGGGACACTGGGAGACATGGGGACACTGTGCCCCCATGTGTCTGTGTCATAATGTCTCCCAATGTCCCTTAGTGTCTCAGTGTATGTCTCCTTGCAGCCTTTCCCCCAATCCCTTACTTCCCTGAGCTGTAGGCTGTCTCTGCAGGGTGGGAGTTGCAGTTTGGACTCTCTGTAGCTGCACCCCTGCAGATCAATGAGTATAGATAGGCAGGGAGGGATATGCTGGAACTTCCTATCCCTGCCTCTCTCCACACACAGTGACCCCTATTGACAAGTGCTGGTATTGCATAGTAATCTCTTGTTTATACTGAGAAAAATACCAGCATTTGTATTGCCAGTATCACTGCAATATTGGCACCAGCCGGGCAGCCCAAAATACTGGCTGTGCCAATAAAATAAAAGCCAGGTGGAATCCCTAAGAGCAGTGTGTGGAAAAAAAATGTAAAAAAAAATATATATATTTTTTTTTTAATAAATCAATGGGCCTATTCCATGGGCCTGGGCCTGGGCCTGGAGCTGCAGCTCCATCAGCCCCTATGTTAATCCGGCCCTGGACCTGAGATGTCTACGTTTGGTATATATCCCTAGTGGCGTTCAGGAGAAAGTCTAATTATAGGCTAGGATATACATACTTCAACTCGCTTGCTTAATATGTTACACTGAGAACTAAGTAGGCACAATGTGTTAAATGCTTGAATAAGAAAATAAAAACAGTGCTAGGAGACATGTCAGGCCACCAAGAGATTAGATTGCTTAGTTAAGGTAGTCCTTGTTAAGTGTTGTTAGAGCAGATAGGCTATCAATACCCCTGAGTCCTGAAAGGTGATGCAGAGACTAAGAGTGATGAGAGTCATTACGTTACTGGAGATGGTCTTGCCCTGTGTTAGCAGGAGTTCCTTAGTCTGGCTGTCGCCCAATTCCACAGGTGGGCCACAGCAGGGAGATTAGCAAGTGAGTCCCAAGATTTTCAGACCGTGAATCAGTATTCTTCCCAGCTGCTCTCCATCTTGGCTTCCTGGGTGGTCCCCTCTGTCAGGGTAGGGTCTGCGTCATTGTGGTATGTGCTAATGTGGGCATTTTCACGAGGGTGCAACAGGATTTCACATGCCGCCTCCATAAACCCTGCTTCGCTGTAGGAAGCTGGCGGATTGATAGAGGGCCCTTTTCCCATGTGCTCTGTTAATTTCCTCGCTTTCAGGTAAGCGTCAGGTCGGCCCCACTGGCGGCCCGCACACATGGCTGGCTTGCGGCGGCAATCTTGCGAGTTGTCGCCCGGCGGATTGTCCTCGCCAGGGCGGTTGTTTAGGCTCGGGTTGGTGCGCCGGTTTATGCTCCTGCAGACCGGGATGACTCCCCCGGTCCAGAGGGGGGGGGAGCACACCGCCGGCTGGAGACCCAGGAGAGTGGCCGTCTCTTCCCCTGTCGGGTTACTGCCGGCTCCGAACCGGGTCTTGGGTGGTATCTCCGCTCACCGCAGCGGGCGGGGGTCTGTGTGTTCGTCTGTGTAGTTTGCCCGGCTTGGTCAACCTGCAATTTGCACCGTTTTCGGGCCTCGGAGCAGGAGCTCAGACAAAGCACGTCTGATCCCATCGGCGGCCATGCCCCGCCCCCAACCCACAGTAAGGTTTAAAAGGTAAACTAGGACACGTAACATCAGCAACCTTCATGATGACAAACAGCAGGCCGCAAAGTTAAGGGATATCAATATGCATGATTGTACTAACGCTTCACCCTTCCTTTCTGTACAACCAAACTGTCTGCAAATGTAATGTGGCTTCTGCGTAAGCCTATACACTGTCGCAAATATGCACTTATTTTTGGTGAAAAATAAAGAATTTAAAAAAAATAAAAAAATAAAAAATTGCTTAAATACTGTTTTTTTATAGCTTGAGTATTTTGCTCTAAAAGTTGCAATTTCTTAAATAATTCCTAGCTTACTGGATAACCCTCTGTGATTTTCTGTTACATTTGCTTGATGCTCTCTCTAATTTGCGAACGACACACAAGTGGCAACGATCAATCAGTTTAAATGTAACTTTAAATTTTAGACGTCTGCCTTTTTAATGTTGGCGTTTAACTTATGTTGCATTTCCATTTATTACTGTTAATTATATAAAACCTGGCTCATTGAACTTAAATAGTTGCTTCTAAGATCTTAAACTCAACACGCCAATCCATCTTTATTATACAGATTAATTTTAATGCCTTCTTCTTAAACTGTCAGAAGTGTTGGATTGCAATGCTAACTTATGAAGTAGTAAAGATTTTTTTTCCCACTATCTTTTAAAGTAACAATTTATTGTCATTTTAAATTAAGATGCTTTTGTCTTTTTGCAAAATAAATGAGCTGTAAATTCTTTCTCATATGATTATTTAACATAGGAAATATGCTTAGCTCCTTGGGGATGACATATTGTCATTAGCCAATTATCAGAGACATTTGTTTAAATAACTGCATGTCTCACAGCTGAGCAGTCATCCATGTGGATGGAGGTACTAAATACAACTATTTTAACATAAATCAAGGTCTTCTAACTCCAGCATTGAGGTCATTAAACTAGCTAATCTCAGCACAATTTAATATGAGTTATTACTTATATAGCGCCATCAGATTCCGTAGCGCGGTACAATGGGTGGACTAACAGATATGTAATTGTAACCAAACAACTGGACGTACAGGAACAGAGGGGTGGAGGGCTTGCTTACATTCTAGAGGGAGTGGGGTATAGTGACACAAAGGGTAAAAGTAGGGGTACGAATTAGGTTGTTAGAAAAGTATTAATTGAGGGCTTAGTTGGTGATTTTTGACAGTTGCAGGAGAGGATTCATGGGAGGTGAGGGATAAAAACCTGCTAACAGTTTAATTGATATGCTTTCTTGAAGAAGAGAGTTTACAATTAATTTTTGAATGAGTGGAAACTGGGTAAAAGTCTTATGGAGAAGGGAAGGGAGTTCCACAGAAGAGGTGCAGCCCTGGAGAAATCTTGGAGGCGAGCATTAGAGGTGGGAGTACGGACAGATGATATACGTAGGTCTTTGGCAGAGCGTAGGGGCCTCAACAGGACATACTTGTGTATTAGGGAGGATAGGTAGGTTGGAGCAGCATTATGTAGGGACTTGTACGCAAGCACCAGAATTTGAAATTGATCCCTATATCTAACTGGAAGCCAATGCAGGGACTGACAGAGCGGGGAGGCGTGGGAGGTGTGAGCGGATGAAGATGAGCCTCGCCGCGCATTCATTATAGATTGCAGCGGTGCAATCTGGGAACACGTAAGACCACTGAGAAGGGTATTGCAGTAGTCAAGGCGAGAGAGAACAAGAGAAAGAGGACATGTATTAAAACGGTATATGTAATATATTATAAATAGAACTCTAAATATACTATTAAATTAATACATAAAATTGTTGCTGTTATATTAAAATATTATAGAAGTGCAAAGTAATTCCCATAATATTAAAAACCAGTGCATTGCCTAATACATATAATGCTGAACAGAAAAGTGTGTCAGGTGAAAAATGTTAACAAAAGGACTGTTAGTAACTTGTAACAGTAATATTCCAAACTTTATAATAATCATATAGATAAGAGGAAAATATTAAAATAGAAACACATAGGAAAGATGTATAAAAAAAAATATATATATATAATTAGGGAGGGTGACTTCTTTAATGTCGCCATCTTCAAACTTCTATTACAGGGGTAGGCAACCTTTCAGCAGCACTGTGCCGAAATAGGATTGTGATGTCCCATAGTGTGCCGGTCCTATTTTATTTTAAATTGAGGTGTGTATGTTGCTGTATTCTGCTTGTGTTAATTATACTACAGTTGCTTGGTATTGTTGTATTTGTGTGTATATGAGCTATTATATTGTATATGTTCTTGAGTAGTTTGTGGTATCATGTATGATACCTATGAATGTGGGCTGTGCATGGGGGCTGCTTGTGGAATTGTATGTGTGGATGAATATGTCACATAGTGTGTGTGGATGGATATGTCACATAGTGTGTTTGGTAGTGTGTGTATGTGTGGGGCTGTTTGGGGTATTGCCAGTGGCGTCTCTAGGATTCATTTTTCGGGGGGGCACATGGAGGGCCAGTGACAAAAGTAGGGGGGCACATTTAACCCCGCCCTCGCCGCAGTTTGACCCCGCCCCTGTTGCATGTTAAGCCACGCCCCCGACACAATGTGTTTTGTTTTTTTAATAATACCTGGTGGAGGATTCATTATTTTCCACCAGGGATTATTAAAAAAACAAACACATTATCCTTGATACAGTGCCATAGTTGCCAACATTTGAAAAAAAAATTCCAAGGACATTTTGCAGCACATCTATCAATTACTGTCTGGGTATAATATCCCTGGACAGTCAGTGCTCTCTGTATAATACAGGGTTGTGTGTATAATAAATTGGGACACTCCCTTGGGACACACAAGCTCACTGACACACACATGCTCACTAAATAGAAGCTCACTGACACACACAAGCAGTACCATTTTAACAGAGTTAAGGGCCCCTGGGCAATGCACTGGGGCCCTTCCTACACAACAACTCACAGGAATTTTAATTATTGATAGACTGCGGAGTCCATACACACACACACACACACACACACTGCTGAGTCCATACACACACAGACTCTGCTGAGTCCATACACACACACACACTCTGCT